TCGAGAGAAATGACCACAGAAATGTAACCGCCCAAATGATTTCAAATCTCATTCGTAATAAGATTCGAAAGAAAGTGGAGTACGGCGTCGACATGATCCAGGCTGATGTGAAACAGTGCTGGAAAGTGGATGTCAGCTACAAGAAGGCATGGCACGGAAGGAGAAAAGCCATCGAGAGTGTATATGGCACTTGGGAATCGAACTTTGCAGAACTCCCTCAGTAAGCAAAAATTAATTGCAAATATATGTGTTGTTTGCCTGTCGCTATTTTTATCTATTTATTATGAAATTGTTTTGTAATGTGTAGGTATTTTGCCGCGCTTCAAAGAACGAATCCCTCCACAGTTGTAGAGTGGGAATGGCAGGGTGGTGAAATGGCGCGACAACTTCGAGACAGACAATTCAAATTCGTATTCTGGGCATTTGGTCCCGCAATTCAAACTTTTCGAAGGTGCCCGCCAGTTATTAGCGTCGATGGCACACATTTGCGTGGATCCTACAAGGGAAAATTGCTCGTGGCCATGGCACAGACTGCGAATAAGCGGTTATTGCCGGTCGCATTTGCGCTTGTCGATGAAGAAAGCACGGACAGTTGGTCATTTTTCCTTAGGAATCTGCGGCAACATGTAGTCTTCCAGAGACGTATCTGCGTTCTTTCTGACAGGGATGCGGGCCTACTCAGTGCCATTGAATCATTACCAGATTGGCAAGAACCCGCTGCGTATCACCGGATTGCCTTCGACACCTTCGAAGCAACGTGGTGAGTAATTTCAGGAGTAAGAAAATTCGGACTTGGTGTTGGGAATTGGGTTCTCAGTTTTCGAAGCGAAAGTTTCGAGAGACAGAACAACGACTGTTGGCATTGAATCCCGAGGCACACAATTACCTTTTTCGAATTCCTTTGGAGAAGTGGACCCAGTTAAAAGATAAAAGAGGACGCAGATGGGGCACATTGACCACGAACATGTCGGAGAGTTACAATAACGTGCTGAAAGGGGTTAGGTTTCTGCCGTGCAGAGCTTTGGTAGATGCCACATTGCATAAACTCTGGATTTGTTCCAACAGGAACAGAACAAGTCCACGAGATGCAGCACTCCCATTGCTACGGAGCACTATAACGCATATTTGCAATTGGAGCAGATAGGCGCCACTCATAGAGTTCATGTTAGGGACGCCGAGAGCTCCATGTACGAAGTGGAAATCGGTTTACGGGCGAGTGGAAGAGGACAAAACCTGTAAGTATTTTTTTTTTTTACTTTTTTGTTTGTCCATTAAATTTGTTCATATTGTATATATATATATAAATCACTGGGGAATTATTACAGGTATAAGGTAGACTACAACTGAAAACGTTGAAGTTGTCGGAAGTGGCAGACGCGTCGGAAACCATGCTCTCATGCGTTAGCCGTCTGTCGTTCAGTTGAGACTGACCCAAAACTGTTGTTCAGTGAGTTTTTTTGGACGGAGAACTGGGTAGCTCAATTTAGCAATTGGAGTTTTGCTCCGATTGGTAATCCAGATACATGGGAGCCGGTCGAGTGGAAATTGATATCGCACTGGGAGAGGATGATCTTGAAGCCTGGACCCGGTCGCGTGCAAACGAGACGATATCGCATGCAAATGGATCGTCGGGGACGCCGCAGGAGGGATAGGGGACAGTGCACTAGATGCGGTAATCCAAATCATGTTGTAGATGAGTGTCCGTCTTCACATCCTCGCACCGACAGGTCTAGACTTCGGGATGAGTGGGGAAATTAGATTTGCTAGTGTTTATTCGGATTTGTTTGGAGAGTTCATTTGGATTTGGTTGGATTGTTTGAATTTGTTTGGATGATTTGTTTTGAATTATTTGGATGGTATTTACTGTAAGTTTGGTTTTCATGGTATTTTTATTTAGATTGTGCATTTTCATTTTTTTTGTTGTTTTGGATTGTTAGAACAGGTTTTTTTGGGTGTTACAATATGTATTTGGACAGGTTTTTTTTTTCCATTCCCAGTAGAAAACGGATTTTAAAAAATTTTTATTACA